TTTAACCCAAAAGACTCAACAATGACTTTATAATAGGGAGGAGGTCGGAGAGTTTCGTGTGTTAGAATTTGAGCTCGGAATAAGTGTTATAAAGTAGACCGCTACAGATAGTCCGGACAGATCCCGATCTATTAGATTGCTATGAACCAGGGAGAGCGTAGTAGACCGGACAGTTCCCAGGCTACAAAGTTGCTGCGAGCTAATAAGAATGTATAAACGTTTTTGGTGTTTTCCGGTCGGTGGTGACCTCCCGACGAGCTCTCTGTCAGAGTTAGAGACATGAACGGTGATGCTCTGGGTCCCTTGTACTCTCTTTCAGAGAAATGGAAGATGAATGGTCACATCACATTGTACCTCTATTTATAGTACAAGGTTGAGGGTACATACTAGGTTTTATTAACTGTAGTTACCGGATCTGACACAGGTTTAACCAGACCGCGGTTACTGTTTGAGTTGGGCTTCCACTGTTCACGGACCGCAGACCGTTGGGCCGCAGACAGTTTGGGCCGCAGGTCCAGGCCCAACAACATGACTGTAAATAGATGTTAAGATGTTATCAAATTTCTAGGATAAAGGTTTTAGATTGACAAAGAAATAGTTAAAATGTATTTTTTCAAAAATTTACACATTTTGATTGTTTGTGGTTTTTGAAAAAGTTTTTAGTTTCTGTTTTCCCAAAGTTCAGATTTTTATCCAATCAAATTTTGTGAAAAAGTTTTTAGTTTCTCTTTCCAAAGGTTTTTGATTATGTGACATTTTTGGCAAAAACTCTTTAAATGAATCAAAAGATAATATGTGAATATGCAAAAAGATAGTGATACACTTACAAAAGTTTTTAAAAAGTGAAAATTTTGTAAAGTGGCATGTAAAAAATGACATATCTCAAAAATTCTCATATTTCTTTTAAGGAGTGAATAGTATTTTCTTACGTTAAAATAAAATCAAATTATAGTTATACATTAATCAAATAGTTAGTAATACATGAAGATTCTTATTGATATAAAATATTAATAAGCTAATTTTTTCATCAAGTAGTAAGTTCTTTTACTTAAAATTTCTCGCTTTCCACTTTATGATAAGACGTACTACAATATAACGATAAACATATTTTTTATTTAACTGATCTAATGTTAAATAAATGGTGTTTTTCTTGGGTTGAGTAGTCATTGTTTTGTTTATGTGATGATATCTATGCAGGAAACGATAAAAAGATAGGATTTTTTAAATTAGTCTAACAAACTGAAATATATCGTCGTAATCTATCTCACCTATCGAATAAGAGAGTAATCCATATTTTTTCTAATGAAAAAGCTGATTAAAATTTGTGAAAAAGATTATTGAAGTTTAAAATTGTTTTTTGAGAAGATTGAAAGAGCACAAAATTTATTATATAAAGATAAAATATTATAATCATTGAAGATTTAGATATGCAAACCTAAATTTATTTGAACTAAAGAAAAACATGGGTATTAATTAATATATTCTAATGAGAAAATCTTTAAACCTAATTCATAAAGGAAAAGAGAAACAAAAAGATGGTGGTAAGGAAAAGAAAATAAAACCTAAATCTATCTGAACTAAAAAAAATACACGTGTATTAATTAATGATGAGAAAATTTTGAAACCTAGTTCATAAAGATTAGAGAAACAAAAGAATGGTGGTAAAGAAAAAAAACAAAACCGATATGCATAAAATAAAAATAATATTTAAGTGAATAAATCATGCTTATCAACTAATTATTTTAATAAATTACTAGCTGAAAACTAAATGGAAATTTTTGATATATGTTGGTATTTATAATATTCTTG